TTTTTTTTTTTTTTTTTAACTAATAACCTTTTTTTTTTTAGCACAGTTTTAGGTTCATAGCAAAATTGAGTGAAAAGTACAGAGTTCTCATACATCTCCCTGACCCCACACATTCACAGCCTCCCCAATTATCAATATTCTGCACCAAGTTGTACACTTGTTACAACTGGTGAACCTACATTGACTCATCATTATCACGCAAAGTCTATAGTTTACATTAGGTTTCACTCTTGGTATTGTACATTCTGTGAGTTTTGACAAATATATAATGTATAATGACACATATCCACCAATATAGTATCATGCAAAATAGTTTCACTGACCGAAAAAGAATTTTTAGAGAATTAATGATTTTTATAAAAAGGTGCTGGTGATGGAAATATTCTGTATTTGACTGTATCAATGTCAGTATCCTAGCTGTGATACTGTGCAATACTCTCACAAGATGTTACTGTTCAGGAAACTGGGTAATGGATCTGTTATTTTTTAGAACTACATGTGAGTCTATAATTATCTCAAACAGTTTAAAAAATTAAATCAGAAAAAAATGTTAATGGTGCTGTGAAAATTCAAATAGAAAAAACCAGAAGGATTGTTGTTTCTTCCTTTTTGTCTTCTAGGTGTATACGATGTAGTGAATAATCTTGGCTCTCTTGTGGCCAGGTTAATTTTCCAGCCAATAGAGGAGAGTTTTTATATATTCTTTGCTAAGGTGCTGGAGAGAGGAAAGGATGCCACACTTCAGAAGCAGGTAGTCTTGGTTCTAATGTCACTATCTCTCAAGTGAATTTTCCAGTTGCAGGATAAACAGACTAAAATGTAGATCAGTCGGTTTCCCTCTGTTTGAAATATCCTTCTAGGTCTTATTCTTCCATCACCTTCTGAATGATGGCAGGACTCTGAGCTCACTTCTTTCACAGCCTTCTCCCTTTGCCCTGGTTGGCCTTTCCCTTCTTACCCTTATTCCTTCTCTGTGACCTCATTCTTGACCCAGAACTCTCTGCAGCCAACCCCAGTGTGGCACAGACCCCCTTTCCATGGTCTAGGCTTAGCTGGAAGATTGAGATTGCCTCCTCCATCCTCAGATTCTCAAGAACCAAAGGTGAGCCGAAGGACATAGGGGCTGGAGTAAGGCTCGCGTACAGCTTGGGAAGTAAAGGACATGGTCATTTGATTTCACTCACCACACCAGTTGTTTAAGCTTTTTAAAGATTGTGAAGTGCCCAGATGCACTCTGACCGTGAGAATCTACCTACTCTGATTGGCAAATGCAGAAGAGATTTTAATCCAGGCGTATTTGGTTGTAGAAACTTCCCTTTTTCTAAAACCATTGAAAATGTGTGACTTATCGGAGAATTAAAAGGAAGCTAAGTTGGCCTCTCACATGTCTTAGAAGACACTTTGCAAAATATAATTTATGCACAATATCTCAAAATGAACTAATCTGGTTCTCGGTTGGTTTAGGAATATTTTCCTAAGCATACTTCGACAGGAACGTCAGGATTTGGAGACGTTTGTCAGGAGAAGCACTCTGACAAAGCTAGCTAGCTAGCAACGTAAAAACTTGCTCTCCATTTTAAGAATAAATATCGGAGAGAAAGTGAGTGTTTCCTAAGCAGCCTTTGAAATAACAGATCCTAAATGAGCTAAAAACCACACCTCCTCTGCACTACCTAAGGAGGCACAGATTGGCTTTTCCCCTTCATTTCCTTCATGCTAATTGACATGAAAACAAACACAGGCTGCAGAAAAACGGGATGTCTCTCAGCAGTTAAAAGAGTGATCTGTAAGACAGCAGAGAGAGAAGGCCAGATGTGAAGTTTTTCTTTAGCTCATGATTCATCCAACTTCCTTCCCTCTGCCCCCCGCCCCAGGAGGACATTGCCGTGGCCGCTGCGGTTTTGGAGTCGCTGCTCAAGCTGGCCCTGCTGACCGGCCTAACCATCACCATTTTTGGCTTTGCCTATTCTCAGCTGGCTTTGGATATCTATGGAGGGGCCATGCTTAGCTCTGGATCAGGTATGCACAAGAGTTTTGCCAGATTTGTTCTAATTTCCGAACAGAAATAGAAGAGTCTTGTGAAATTCAAGAACTTGTGTGCACACAGGTTGGTATCTGTCAGTGTAGGGAGCGCTGTCCATGGCTGGGGCTTCGAGACCGTTGACCTCGCACGAGGTCAGAAACAGCTCAGTGCCGTCGGGGGGCTTTGGCACCAGGGCAGTCAGTCCTCCAGTCTCACTTGCAGAAGTCATTATTCATCCTTGGCTGTCCTCCCAGGCCTAAAATGTGTTTTGCTGGGCACTTCCCTGTGCACCCTCTGGGGTGAGGGAAGAAGGCAAAGAGCAGGCTCTACTGAGTCTCCGCTTGATACTAAACACATCTGAAGGTAGTAAATGCCACATAAATCTCACAGCCTGATGCATGAGCCTCTGAAGGATAACTCAGAGCCATTTGCAGAGAACAAAATGGATCTCGGCAAGCAGAACGGTATATTTAATCCAGTGACTCTTGGTTTTTGAAGGACAAAAGCATCAAGTGTATCTAACTTGGAAACACCTGGTGCCATGCCACTGAACATCTCATAGCACTTGCCAGGCCCTGGGGACTTGACCAGTTTCAAAATGTGCTGGGCCTTAGGCTGGCAGTCCATTTGCAGTCCGTTTCATCTTGGGTTCGGCAAAGATTTTTCAGTTCCTCGGGTCACTAGACAAGAACTCTGAAGACTTCTTTCTGCTGCTCCATCTCAATGTAAAGGGCTTTGTCAAAGGCCATTTTACAAGTTCACTGGCCTGTTTTGGTCTCCACTATAACGGGCCCAAACTTTGGGTGTTAGGGGAGGAGCGGTGAAGTTTCTACCCAAGAGCAAAGGTCATTCAGTTTGCAGAAACCCCTGCTGTGAAAACCGTGATGTGGTCGCAGCTGCCTGGGGCTGGTACTGTGAGGCCTGCGTTTCCATCAGGCAGGCGGGGAGGCTCATTAGGAAGCCCTTAGTAAGTCATGTGCAGAGACTGGGCACGCAACCATTTCACAGCAGCACGGCCCCTCTAGAAAGGTGATCGCCAAGGAACAGCCTGTATTGTCACGCAGTCACAGGACGTGGCCGTGAGGAGAAGGCTGTCCCGTTAGCACAGTGTTCACCTGGTGGAGTACTTAGTCATAGAAGGTCTAGAAGCAGACTGCTGCGACTATGTCGGCCTTTGGTGCGAGTGAGAGGCTGGTGCCCGTTTTCAGTGTTGGTAGTAAGAGTTATCAGTTAAAAGGGTCAGTGGTAGTTGATTTCTAAGGTAGTAAATTCTGTTTCTAATGGCTTATTGTCAGAGCCATTAATAATTTTAGAATCAACACGACGACGAGCACTGAGTAATATATAGAATTGTTGAATCACTGTATTATATACCTGAAACTAATATAACCCTGTAAGAAGAATAAATAATTTTAGACTCAAAAAGATATTCTCTTGGTATCATCTTCTGAAAGAGGAGTCTTAAGAATGGTCTGGTTCCTCAGTCTCTGACAAGAATGTGCTGTCTGGTGAGCCAGGACCACTGTCGTCTCTGTCTGGCCCAGGGCTCCATCAGTGTCACTGTCCCAACAGGGTCTTCTAGCATTTGTCTCCTCATTGTAGCTGCCTTACACTTTGAGCAAACTTCGAGCTCTCTGTAAAGCCCCTAGTGGCTCCTGGTAGTCCGTCCCCCCTGGGCCCCTGCTGCTTTCCTTCCCTCACCTCCACGCCACCCCGCGTCTCCTTGCCCTGCTCCTGACTCCTTGGACTAGTGCTGTGGATCCGAATACCTTTCCTGTGCCGGAATAGATGAACAGTGCTGCTCTCCCCTCCCCGCTAGTCTTCTTCATTTACTTAAACACTCCAAAAAACTTGGGGCGCCTGGGTGGCTCAATCGATTAAGCTTCTGACTCTTGATTTTGGCTCAAGTCATGATCTCAGGGGTGGTGGGATTGAGCCCTGCATGGGGCTCTGCACTCAGCACAGAGTCTGCTTCAGATTCTCTCTCTCCCTCTCCCTCTGTCCTTCCCCTGACTTGTGTGTTCTCTTTTTCTCTAAATAAATAAATAAAATCTAAAAACAACAACAACAACAACACTCCACAAAACTTGACTGTCTCCAGCCTGAATTTAATCAGAAAAGAATGGCAACTTTCTGTGGCTCAACTGAACCACCTGAGTTTTGAAAGTGGAACTTGCAACACTGCTGCCTCAGTTGTCCCAGTTGTGTATCAGTCTTTGTCCTCACCTGGAAAGTAGACTTACCTGTGACCTGAACTGGCCTCTGACCCCCCCATCCCCTGTGCTGCCATCTCCATGTGTGGGACTTGGATGCAGCATCGGTGGGGGCCAACATCCTGGTTAAGATCTACATTTCCATTACCCCAGAAGGTTCTTTCAGGACTCTTTCCAGTCAACTGCCCCCCCTCCACCTCAGAGGCAACCACTGTTCTGATTTCTATCACCATAGATTAGTATTGCTTTTATAATTTTTTTTAAAGATTTTATTTATCCATTTACTTGAGAGAGAGAGAGAGAGAGCGAGCATGAGCGGGGGAGGGGCAGAGGGAGAAGCCGACTCTGTGCTCAGCACAGAGCCCATCGTGGGGCTCGATCCCATGACCCCAAGATCATGATCTGAGCCGAAACCAAGAGTTAGACGCTTAAGCGACTAAGGTGCCCAGGCACCCCAGATTAGTATTGCTTTTATTTATTTTTTATTTTTTATTTTTTATTGTTATGTTAATCACCATACATTACATCATTAGTTTTTGATGTAGTGTTCCATGATTCATTGTTTGTGCATAACACCCAGTG